CAAACTTACTTTACACCAGTCGTTAAACCTAGCCCGGGTTCCAAGCACTTTGCAATATCCTTCTTCGATGGTTGAATCAAAAATAGTCTAGCTTTCAGCGAGTCCTGAAATAGAGTATTCCCTTCCATAGCCTTCTTCGTCCACGCAGCAACTGCCTCGCCTACACCACATACAGCTGCCAATTCATCTATTCCCTCATGCTGTACTACTGTGCTATCCACATCAAAGCACACAGCGTCTGCTGCCTGCATGAGTGACCGGACTGTGTCTATTGGGAGGGCCATAATTGAGGCAACGATTGATTGAGTGAATTTTCTATGATCAGCGTATCGACTTTCTTAAAGTAAAGCGACTGAATGTTATATATTAAAATTATAAAGTGACTTCTGTATACCTCTCAAGTAGTAGAGTAGTAGTTTGACGCAGAGTGTGGATCATGTGGATATAAAAAAAGCTTAAGAATCAGATTAGAAAATTCTGACAGCCTTCAGTGTCATCGTGAGTGTCACTGTTCGTCTACTTACGCACATATTCCTACATGCAAGCTACAGCAATAACAGCATACATCACTTGACTTCAATAAATACTTTAAACGCAACAGGCGAGAAGACAGTAGATAGACTTCTAAATTAGACACGAGAGGAAATACTGTCATATATACATAGCTTTGTTATGTTAGTGGTGTATTGTGTGCATTCACACTTAGATTGGGGTAATTCTTCCAAGGCTTTGATTGCAAATGTGTGTTTCAAGACTACATACAAACATAGCAGAGGTGTGAGGTGTGAGGTGTCTGTTCACAACTAGATCGGGACAATTCGTACAAGACATGGATTATATAGATGTGTTTTAGTACATTCACATTCGTGGAAGAGGCGCATTAAGTCTATACAAGTACATTCACATTCGTGGAAGAGGTGCATTGTGTCTAAATAAGTACATGCACATTCGTGGAAGAGGTGCTGTGTCTAGACACTTAGTTTGGGACAATTATCCCAAGGCGTGGAATACACAAGTCTATTTTAGTGCTACACACATATATGGAAGGGGTGTATTGTGCTAATTCACACTGGGAATGAGATAACTATCTCAAATTTTAGTACTACACACATTCGTGGATGAGATGTATTTTGCTAATCCACACTGACATTAATTTGGTTTATAAGGCGGAATTCGTAGGTGTATCATAGCACTCCACACATACGTGAAAGAGGTGCAATGTGCTAATTCATACTGAAATTGGGTTGATTATCGAAGGCGTGGAATACATTGTATATTTGTGGAAGAGGCGTATTGTGCTACTTCACGCTGAGATTGGATTGATCAGGCGTGAAATACATATGTATTTTAGTACTAAGCACACACGTGGAAGAGGTTTTTTGTGTTAATGTACACTGAGATTGGGATGAATATCCAAAGGCGCATATGTCGTGACGGCAGCAATCATTCTCTCACAACAATTATGCCGCAAACGAAAATATTGTGTACCTCGTTTACATACACTTGAGGTACGTTTATCCCTCGCAACTAAGCAAAGAGTACATATGTCTTTCATAAAGTACTATTTCATATAATGAATTATAAAGTACTATTTCATATAGTGAAGTGAGTTGATCTCAGTGATACTTGTGTTGCATCGATGCACAAATGAAATACGGCCGTCTTACTTCGTAACAGTTGCTACCTTCACATATGTATGATTACAACTAAACGTAGTACATTGACAGACTATATCTTCGGAGTGTAGCCATAATAAATTCAGATGCACATTTCTATTCAGAACATATCTCACTTCAGCCAAGGATCAAATTACGAAATTCGTAGAGAGAAGGCGCATTTTACCTGTACAACGATTGACTGATAAAACTACAAAGACAACTAGCTTTTACCGTTGCTGTGCTGTTAGTGCATAGAAGCATTCGAAACAAAGGACTTGGCTTTACTCACTAATTCTAAAAACAGAAATATTGTCAACAATGATGAATAAGCTCAGCTGGCGTGCAGATTCTTCAGTCTGTTGGCATATTCTATGTGAACACCTTGTTTGTGATTTTATTGTCAATTAAGCACACTTGGAGTATTCGGATCAGCTGCCGCGAACTGTCGGGTACTTTGCACCAGCCTATCCTTCGTTGAGCAATCAAGAGAGCCATTAACATACTGCAACACAATAACAAAACCTCGGAGCAATTCTTGCATTAAAAATAAAGCTCTCGTCAAGGTTGATTGCTAGAGTGATCCTAATGTGATTCCAGACTACGTGGATGTGCAGGCACTCTCTTTAGCCGCTATCGCTGATCCATTGATCCTGTTTCTCTTCTCGTCCGCTTGTGGAAAGTTCCTTTCTTCTCGTCTCGTCACTGCTCTCCAACGAGACAGCTTGATTTCACACCCCAGTCGTTCCTCTCATAGAATTAGATGTCGTTGTTCCAACCCCTGCGAGCCTTAAAACCCACATTTGGCTGTTCATAGCAACTTGCTTCCACAACATTTACCTATCCCATCTCCGGTGAGCATGCGTGCCGCGCTCTGTAATGTTTCGGTCTTTCCTGTGCGAGTATCTTCTCCCACGAAAAGAATCAATCTGTGGCAATGCACGCGCTTCGTAAGCAGACTGTTTCCTCCGGCTGCCATTGGATTCAAGATGACTGTCTGAGCGTCATCCTAATACCAGGTTGCCGCAATATTGTGTCGCTCCCGCGTGCGTAGTTTACTATCTCGGAATTAACTCCATTGCGCCCGCACCGTTGATACGAGCCTTTCCTCCCTCCCCATATGCGCAGAGTGTTGTAATTGTTAACACGAGGTGGAGCCCGAATGGGAGACACAAAGCCGGGACGTGTGCCTGCACACTGTTCGAATGTCTGTACACAACTACGCACGCGCGAGTTAGCATGCGTTGGTGATAGATGCTAGTACTTATCCGATGTATTTGCAGATGTATCCGTGCATTGTTCACAGTGAAGCATACTTCGTTCGTCATGCGTGTAGTCCATGTTCTTGCACGCATGCGCCACTATTCCGCTGTGACTGTCTCCGCTTCTACCGCTGCGGGTGGCTCTATCGCTGCTGGACTATCTGCAGTTGAGGGCGGAGTTGGCTCTGAATTAACCGGCACGAATGTGAATCTGCTCAATACCAGAGGCAACGACGCGATGGTGTACCCGTATGTCCCCGAACTCTCATAGAGTTCAAACAAAGGTGCGGCAACCAGCTTGTAGTTTTTCGGCACGGCGAATGTACCTATATTTGTATAGTGATATAGTGAGTCGTATGATTAGGATCGTTGAACTTGTTCGCAAACTACGGAACCCAACAGCAGTGGCGTGACATAGTCTAACCTATCGCAGGCGCACACTTCAACAAGCGAAGCAAGCAAAACAGTATTCGGATACCGAAGATACAACTATACAAAACACTGCGTTCGATCCTGCCCGCCCATACGTACTCATGCACAGTGCATAGCAGATTGTATGCCATAAGTTGAAAGGAGAGTTCGATTGCATTACTTAACCATCCAATATGTATTAGCTGCACATGCGAATAACATACCGAATTCGGGAAGCTGTATCAACATTACGATAGTATGCTCCTTTGGCTTGGTGATATGTGCTGGGCAGTATGGATACTATGGGGATAAAAGTTGCAATAAAAAGTAGCTGTTAAGTTCGAGAACTCATATATTGTACTCTGAATAAACCTCAGCGGGCAAGCTAATGGTTGAACATATATTTTGCCAAATGCAGCAGGTTATACGGATAAAACGCCGAGAGATAGGAAGGTCAGATTTGTGAGGCGGCTCACACCCGAATAATGGGACTTACAAGAAGCACAACTACACCAGAGGCCAGTCAGACTACCGAATCGGAATATCCTTCAATCCATCATTCTCCACAGCAATATAGAAAGATTGACACTTTTAGCCACAACAGCGTTACCGAATATATATAAACCACCGCTCCTAAGAGGGGTCGTACTATCCATAGGGCCGTGAGACACAATTCACGGCCAAGCAACAAGCAGCTCTACCACTTTGAGCCTCGAGACCTTAAAATTTGCATGTACACCGATCAGTGGCGACCGCTACATATTATTAAGTGTACGTCTTATTACAAACGTGTTGGGGAAACTCATACGCCGCATGTAGCCACGACCTTACCCTTGAGATCTCGAAATTTGGTCGGTACCAATTAGAGAGTATGTCGGCCACTTCCCATTCAATCGCACCATCTCCGTTTTCCGGAGATAAACATTCAGTCAGTATACGTTTGCAGCCTTCTATCTCTCCTTCGCCAGGATGCAATTCTCCGCTGGGTCTACATTGGCAATTGTGAGTAGTGTACGGCGATTGTTAAATGAGTTTCGCCTTTACACATTCCTTTGCTAATCTCGGCTGTCATATATCTATGTAATATTGTGCGATATCATTCACTTGATGTTGATGAGGGTACGATAACATAGCATTGCATATAGCTCTATACCTACATTTCCGATGAGAAATAACATAATCATCAAACGTTTAGTGGGGAGCAAATATATACGCAAGTCCTTACACATGTCACATGTGAAATACAGTCCGTATTCGTTACGAAGGCAAAAGTAGACGTATAAATATCAATAAATAAATAAATAATTAATTAATTAAGCATAAATAAATATACATATATACATATATATATATATATATATATATACGTATATAAACAGAAGTATACAAAGATGC